CATTTATTTGGGTTTGTTTTTCTAATGTGTGAATTTACTGCTATACATTTCCCTCTTAAGGTACCTCTCATTATATCCCACAGGTTCTGGTAAGTTGTATCTATATTTTCATTTGATTGTAAATGTGTTTAATTTCTTCTTTAATTTCATCTGTGACCCACTGGTTGTTCAGGATATTGTCATTTTTGTTGTTGTTGTTTTTACATGTATTTGGTACAGGGTCTCGCTACACAGCTCAGATTCATAGTGATCCTCCTATTTTCAGCCTCCCCAGCACTGAGATTACAGGCGTGTACCACTATGCCAGACTTGGTGGGAGGCTCAGTGCGCCTGGGGGCAGGGCTGGCACAGCATGTGGTATGGAGGATTGAACCTTAGTCCCTGTGCTTGCCTAATCAGGTGCTTAGTCTGCTGAGCTATTTTACCAGCCCAAGGTTGTCATTTAGTTTCCATTTGTTTATGGTGTTTTTGTGGCTTCTTTTTCTATAAGTTTCAGTTTCACTGTACTATGGTCAGATAACATGCATGGGATAATTTCAGTTCCTTTGTATTTACTTAAGCATGTTTTGTGTGCTAGTATATGGTCTATTTTGGAGAATATTCCATGTACAGTTGAGAGTAAACTTAAGCATGCTTTGTGTGCTAGTATATGGTCTATGTTGGAGAATATTCCATGTACAGCTGCGAGTAATGTGTATTCTTATATTGGTGGGTGAAACACTCTGTAAAGGTCTACTAAGTCCATTTTTTCACAAGTTTGGTTTAGTAGAAACATATTTTTGGGCCTTCATCCAGATTTACTGAATCAGACAGTCTGGGAGTTAAGCCCAGCAATTTGTGTTTTTAGAAGCCTTCTGGCATGGGAGTATAGTTCAATGCAAGAGCACTTATCTGGTATATACAAGTCTCTGGGTTTAGCTCCTTAGAATTCATTGCAGGGTGGAAGCTGAGCACTTTGAATCTAATTCTGAAGAACAAATTTTCTATGCCACTATCATTCTGGAACATAGTGTGGCTGCCCCTGTTCTGTAACATGGCGCTCTGTGGCTTTATCCTCAAAGTAAAGTCTTTTACTTTTTTTTTTTTTTTTTTTTGGTTTTTTTTTTTTTTTTTTTTTTTTTTTCCCAGAACTGAGGTTTGAACTCAGACCCTTACGCTTGCCAGGGAAGCACTTATTCTACGGAGCCATCTCTCAGGCCCAAGTCTTTTACTTTTGTAGGTTTGAGGCTGCAAGCGGTGAAGACTTGCTGCTTTTCGTTATGCCCTGAGGCCATCTTTTTTATTCTTTGCCTTCTCAGCAGTCAAGATCTGCACAGCTCTATCTTTGCAATCCATATCTTTGCTGGGGCTTTTTTTTCCTTCTTCATCTTCGTCTTCGTCTTTTTTTTGTTTTTTTTAATTTTGGCCAGACTCATAATGTTTTAAATCATCCTGCTGGGCTCTTTGCTCTTTTTTAATGTTTCTGTTGTTGTTACTGTTTTTGATACAGGGTCTTACTATGTAGTTTGGGCTGGCCCTGTGCTCACTGTTGTAGTCCCAGGCTGGTCTCGATCTCCCATGTGCTGGGATTCCTGGTTCTGGGGCCAGCACAGTGTGCCCAGGGTTCCAGGGCCAGAATGGCATGTAGTACCAGAGATCAAACTTGGGACCTTGTACTTGCCAGGCAGGCACTTATGCTGCTGAGCTGTGTCTCTGGCCCTGAGTTCCTTGCTCTTGATTAATAACACAAATCTGGCTAAAAGCCCCCAACAATAGTCATACCACTACCCAACAATAGACTGCCTTGAAATTTCTTCTGCCAGATTAGTTAGTCCTTCACACTTGGTCTCAGGTAAGTCTGTGGACACGAGCAAAATACAAACTTTCTGCCAACCCATAACCTCTTGAATGATCAGTTGTCTTAGTTACTTTTCTGCTTGCTGAGAAAAAAAACACACAACACCCTAAGTTAAAAAGTGGTCGGCGAGAGAGCTCAGCAGACTAAGTGCCTGCTTAGGCAGGCAAGCAATCCAGGGTTTGATCCCGGTCCAGCATGCTGCACTGGCCCTGCCCTCCGGGCTAACTGAGGAGACCGAGAGTCTGGGCGTGTGGCGCATGCCTATAATCCCAGCACTGGGGAGGCTGAAAACAGGAGGATCACTATGAGTCTGAGCTGCATAGTGAGATCCTGTACTAAATACATAAATTTTTTTAAAAGGGGGGTTATTTAATTCACAGTTTATACAAGTTTCAATCTTTATTTATTTTTATGTATTTAGTACAGGGTCTCACTATACAGATTGAACTGATAGTGATCCTTTTTTTTTGGTACTGGGAATCAAATTCAGGACCTGGCTCTTTTTTTTTTCAAAACCAGGGATTGAACTCAGACCCTTTCACTTGCCAGGCAAGCGCTTATTTTACTGAACCATCTCCCAGGCCCCAGGACCTGGCACTTGACAGGCAGGCACTGTACCACTGAGCTATATCCCTGGAATTTCTGGAATCTTTATTGTTATATGTCTTGGTGTAAATTCTTTTATTTTTAAATCATGGTGAAGTGGAGTTCAATATGCCTCACTTAACTATATGTCAAATTCTTTTTACCTGCCAGAGCAGTTTTCTGCCATGACATCTATGAACAGGTTTTTTATGTCATCTTTGTTATCTCCTGCTTTTTACTTGATCTATCTTGTTATTCTTCTTTTGCCTCATCTACCAACAACTGGGTTGGTTTCTTGTATTCCCATACTTTTTTTTTTTTTTTTTGAGACAGGGTCTTGCTATGCAGTTTGGGCTGGTCTTGTGCTCACCTTTGTGGCCCCCAGGCTGGGGAACTCAGTGATCCTCAGGATCCTCCTGTCTCAACCTCCTGGGTGCTAGGATATAGCCATGCTGGGATTACAGGGTGTGCCATCATGCCCTGGTTCCCAGGTGGTATGGGGGACCAAACTTGGCTCCTTGTGCTTGCCAGGTAGGTGCTTGTGCCTCCGATGTATTTCCCCAGCCCCTCCCATGTGATTTTTAAGAAATCCTTCTTTTCATGATTGTTATCTGTAATCCTATCTTCTGTATCTGCGATTCTGTCCTTATACTGGCTCATTATGCTTCATATACTTTCAATGGAATTTTTAATCTGGATATCTGTTTTGATTTGTTTCATGGATTCTATTTCTTTCCCATGTTGGGTATTCATTTCCTAAGCACGTGTATTTTTTTAATCTGTCTTAAGTTTAGTCACTAACCATGTCTTACATTATGGTCA